TTTTCTGTATTAAGATAAGGTCTAAAATAAAATTCACGACTATATTCGTTTTCTTCATGAAAAAGCGCATCGAATCATCCTAAACTTGATTTGAGTGAGAGAAAACATCGAGTCTCACATTTGGTCTGATTGATCACCAAACAAAAAAAAACATGGTTTTCTTTGTTTAATTTGTGGTTTNNNNACACTCCTATTGTACGGATAAAACATACTATTGTTCGGGTCATATAAGAGAGGATCCTAGATAACCCTGGATTGGCCGAACAACATCATGTTTTATCCGTACAATAGTAGAGAAAAGCTACCAACTCACACGATAAGCTCGTAGCTTTTCTCAGCTATTGTACGAATAAAACATGATGTTGTTCGGGCCAATCCAGGGTTATCTAGGATCCTCTCTTATATGACCCGAACAATAGTATGTTTTATCCGTACAATAGGAGTGCATCGAAATGGGGTCCCCTCCCAGTTGATCGCCCCCATATGTTTAATAGGATAAAATAATTATCAAATCAGATGACATTTTATTTTACAAAATTCAAATAAATGAATGAATCATTTAAATTCAGTTTGTTTCGTGCAATATAACTGACACGCCTAGTAATGCATATGTAGAAAAATAATCGAATATATTTCTTACCAGTTTTTTTCATTTCTAATCAGAATATTTTTATCAGCGCGTAATAAGGATAGATAAGAGTCAATGATCTATTAGCTCTAATCTTGTTTATCGTTTTATTATTCTTGTTATTTTTTTGTTTTTGTTTTTGTTTTAATTCATTCCTTTTCTATCGACTATCGAAAAGGATATACTATGCGCTTATCATCATTCACACGATAAATAGGCTTCTTAATAAAGATGTAAAGTTATTATAGACTGAGGGCATTACTTCTTCGATTGTTGTGTCGAGTAATAAAAACAAAACTATTTTTCAATCAGAATTAATGACTTTAAGATAAACTTTAATTCATTTAGATAAAACAACAAGATGAACACTAATATCTGGATTGAACTTCATCGCAAAACCTATAGTTTAATGTCATTCTAATGAAAGTATGATTATTTTATCATAGTTATAGATACATATGTAAAATTTGAATCAATTTCTTAGATTAATTAATATTAATTGTATGTCAGTATTTATTTTAATCTTAAAATTTCATCGATTATTATTCGTAGCAAGAATATCTTTAGTTCATTTTTCTTTATTTTCACTTGTTATTGATTTCTGTTTAGTTTGAGTTACAAAAAATATATCAACGTTCATACAGATATTATTGATGTTTTATAATGAATTGAATGAGAATATAGATTTAAAACTGCTTATCATATAGATCAGTCTGATGCGACATTTTATCTTAGGCTATATTTTTTATACAACATAATCATCATCTGTCAAATCTCATGGATCAACAATAAATCAATTGATTATTTTTAATGATAACAATATTAATCCAGAATTAATATAAGCAAGCAGTACATATTCTTGATATTCAATATCAATGCACTTTTACTTAAGTATTCATTGAAATCACTGATAAGGTTTTTCTAATATGTCGAGGGATAAATATTATTTTGGCAAAAGTTAATCATTTTTATCAATATTTATCAATAAAAGTAACATTATATAAAGTTGATAAAGAAAAAAAAAAGAATCATTTTGCATATATAAATTTAATCAATTGATATTGAGAGTTGATGAAGTCTTTTGAATGATAGTATTGAAAAATGAAGTTATTCAGATCATTACTAAACATTCATAAAGACAATTATGTGTTTGAGTAATTTTAGATATTTACTTTACAATAATTGATGCAACTTTCTAGATTATCCCTATTAGTAAAACGAATGGAAAGATATCTATCAAGTACTTCTCAAAAAACAGATAAAGATAAAGAAAATCAAAGATATCATAGAGAGATTCGAGGAACACGTTTTGAAACAGATGCCATTTGTGTTGGACAAGAAGCTGAACGATGGCCAGGTCAAGCTGTTGTTCCACCTATATCAATGGCAACAACATTTAAACAATTAGAACCAGGCAAACCTGTTCTTTATGACTATAGTCGATGTGGAAATCCAACACGACAATGTTTAGAAGAATGTTTAGCTTCACTTGAAAAAGCTAAATATGCATTAACTTTTTCATCAGGTCTTGGCGCAACAACAACACTTATGTTTATGCTTAAATCAGGTGATCATATTTTATCAATTGATGATGTTTATGGTGGAACTGGACGATTGTTTAGGTTTATTTATTTTTTTCTTTTTATTGATAAGAAGTTATTTTGGAATAATTTTTAATTTTTAGACGTTGTATGACTCAAATGGGTGTTGAAAGTTCATTTATTAATATGTCAACAGATCCATCTTCAATTACTAATCATCTTAAATCAACAACACGTCTTGTTTGGATTGAAACTCCAACAAATCCATTACTTAAATTAGCTGATATTGAACGTATATCTACTATTGTTCATACATATGATCCAAAAATAATGGTTCTTGTTGATAATACATTTGCAACACCATATTATCAACGTCCACTTGGACTTGGTGCTGATCTTGTTTTACATTCATTAACTAAATATATGAATGGTCATTCAGATGTTATTATGGGATGTTTAATGATGAATGATGAAGAACTTTATAAACAATTAAGTTTTCTTCAATATGCAATGTAAGAAAATCGGTATATATATATTTTTTTTCTTTTGGAAAATAAACTTTCTTTTAGTGGTGCTGTTCCATCACCATTCGATTGTTATCTTGTTAATCGTGGTCTTAAAACATTAGCTATACGAATGAGACAACATATGGCATCAGCTTTACGTATAGCTAAATATCTTGAACATCATCAATATGTTGAACATGTTATTTATCCAGCATTAGAATCTCATCCACAATATGATTTATATAAAAAACAAATGTCTGGTTTTAGTGGAATGATTTCTATTTATCTTAAAGGTGATGAAGTTGAAAAAAGTCAACGATTTTTAAAACATCTTAAAGTTAATCAAATTTTCTATAAAAATAAAATAAAATAAAATAGAAATTTTTTTTTGTAGATATTTACAACAGCTGAATCACTTGGAGGTTACGAATCTTTGATTGAACTTCCTGCTATAATGACACATGCAAGTGTACCTGAAGAACATCGTCGTCAATTAGGTATTACTGATGGTCTTATTCGAATATCTGTAGGACTTGAAGATGTACAAGATTTAATTGATGATCTTGAAGCTGCTCTTCAATATGCATTTTCAGCTACAAATGATAAATGAGAAAACGTTTGCTTCTTTTTTTTTTTACTCTTAAAAACAGTTTTCTTTATCGTATCTGTTTATTTCTTAACATTTAATATCAAGAAAAAAAAACTTCATCTTCGAAATAAAGATTATTTTCATAATTAATTAAAAATTATTCAAAAGTCATATATATATAGCATCAAATAATTAATCTAAATCATATCTACTAAACAATAGAATATTTCTTTTGAATAGTATAGCATTTATTCGTTTATTTTGTTTAACAATACAATACAATGAAAAGGCTTAAAATTGTTTTTACTTATGAATAAAATTTGAAATATTTATCAACACTATATAATAATCTTATTTTACTTCTTTTTTTTTTGCTAAATTATGATACATGTCATTATTAAATCTAGATAATCACAGTTTTTATTTAGATCTTTTAAGTTTAGCTTCGTATTCTTAATTAACAAAATCATTCTAGTAGAATTATGATTTCCTTTGAACTTTGTAATTAGAGATAGAAATCCTCTTAGTAAATAAGATCAATTTGAACATGAGATTTAAATGAATTTATTAAAAAAAAAAAAGAAAAGAAAAGACAAATCTTCATTCATCATTCGCAGATACGCATTAGCACATGACAGAAAGACGTTTTTGACAGGTCAATGTTATTAAAAAATAATTATTATATTTTTTTTCTTCTAACTAACATGTAAAAAGAGAATTCTTCATACTGTCATTGACAGTTTAACAGATAAACAAGCAATGACTCTTGAAACATGATCAACTAGATTGCATCCTGTTTGTTAGTTATATATCATTAATATCGAAACGATTTATCAGTGTATATAGCTGACTAGTGAGCCGATTCGAAAATAAAATTGACAAAGCAATACGGAAGTTGTATATAGACACAAACAAAAAAAAAAAAAAAAAGAGACCGACCATATATGATTGAGAGAAAGCAGATTTATTTCCGCTCAAATAACACCTCAACGACAATTCAAGTTAATCCATTTTCTTTTCTTTTTCTTTTTTGTCTTTGCTTTCGATAGTTACACTTTCCTATAGTTCTCTACTCCAGCAAAAACAATAATGCTACATATGAAGAGAGAGAGAGAGAGAGAGAGAGAGGAGGAGGGAGGAAACCTGAAAAGCATACGGAGAATGAATAAGTGAAAGTTGTCAGTCGTCTTTTCTTTTTTTTTCTCTCATTTGCCTTTTGTTTCTTCATCAAGCATCATATATGCTTTTTTATAACGATAGGATCTTGACGAAACTAGTTTTATAACATTGAAGTCAGCGATGATTGTCATATGATTGGGTGTAATTAGCCTGAAGGGACTTCTTATTTCAAGTGATAGACAATATATGTTTGTGGGTACGTATAGATATATAATTAACTCTTTTCTTTTTTTTTTTTTTTTTCTATGATTACTTTGACTGTCGGCATTCAAGTCAGGCTTCTTTTCTATACTCAGTTTTTGCTATTAAAAATTGATAGACGTCAGGTTAGTAACTAGCATGATATATAGTTCCATATATGCCATTTGATTCTTATCAAGGAGTGTAATGTGAATCGTTTTTCTTTTCTATTGGTCATTTTAGAAATTTCTAATTTTTTTTAATTTTTAGAAAGAAAAAAAAAACTGAAGAAATTTTTTTTTTTTTTTTCTTTTCTTTATTATTTAGATAATTACATATAAATGTTAATATATGTCGATATTTTATAAAAGTGGATGATGAACAATGTTACAACAGAAATATCTCCGGCGACTAGTATTTTTCGTCGATATTTGTTAGGAGAATCATTCAAAAGTATTCTTATTCGTTTAACAGTTATTTTATCAGCTATTATCGTTGTATGGTCCGGAATAATGATTGCTTTAATTATTCATATGAAATGTCAACGATCAAAACAAATGATAAAAACATCGATTCCACATCATCATTTACATGACAGTAGTTCAAGTCTAACTAGAAAACAATCAAATCGTTCTAAACGTAATCGTCGTTTTGATTCGTCATCATCATCATCAACATGTTGTTTTTCGATTTGTCATTTTTTATCACAACTTAGACAGCATTGTATTTTTTGTCCGTCACATTTATCATCATCACCGATAGAGAATGAAAATTCTAAAAATCGATCATCAACAAAAACAAAACGAAAACAAAGAAAAGAATCTGTATCAGTAAATTCTTGTTCAAATTCGAATAACGTTCAAATTGTTATTGAAGCTATGAACAAACAATCATTAAGTCGTAATTACAATGTAGTTAATATAGGAAAAAAAATTTCATTATATCGTGAAACAGATAGTTCAAGTGGTGATGAATTAAAAAGTTTTTATACGTTTGATAAAGATCAAAAACCTTCGATTGAAATCAATTCAAATACGTCAAATATAATTCAACTAGTAGTTTTAATTAAAAATAAATAATTTTATTTTTTTTCATTAGTATTTATTTTCTTATAGAGAGAACCAAAAGATTATATTCAGCGTCAGTCTATTTCATTTCAAAAAAATGAAAATAAAAATGATTGTCAAACAAAAAAACATGTACAAAATTCTCATAAATTTAATACAAAAATTACTCTTTTATCTAATCCAATTACTCGACGTTTATCAAATACAAATACAAATTCTTGCTGTCTACTAACAAATACAATTCCAAAACACCATCAACAACAACAAACACAAGAACAACCACAACGTAAATCATTATTAGTGATTTCATCAACACTAGAATTAAAATCTGAAAATGATTGGTTACGACGTCATTCATTATTAGATGATCCAACAACAACAGATGGAAGTTTGACATCAAGTTCAAAACATATACCATTAGTAATGATAACTGATACAAGTTCATCAAATACAAATATTGTCGAACTTGAAACATTTGAAGATAACAATTGTTTAGTTGGTGATGTTGAAAGACGTTTATCAAGAGAATTAAGAGCAACATATCAACCAAGACATTCAACATAAATTAGAATAGTTTATTAATTGTTTATCACTATATTAATAAAATTTGAATGTGCAAATTAACTGTGATCAATATAAATTAACATAATTAGGTTTAAATGCAAAATACGGTGCAATATTAAATGTCAACAAGTCAACAAAAAAAAAAACCATATTATATGAACTAAGTTTAGCAACCTCTATTGATGATATGTCGTACGGATTAAACCATAAAGCTTGTTGATGAATGATTGACTGAGTAAATTCAAATAGACATTAAGGATATTTTTTTATATCTTTTTTTTTTTTTTTTTGGTTTTGTACTTAGTTAATTTAGAAAGACAAGTCAATATATATATATATATCCTTTTCTTTTTTTAATTAAGTTTTATTTTTTTTGTTCAATCCTTTTAAGTCTCACTTATCTATGACTGAAGTATTATTGTTGACATCAAAAACAATAAGAAGGAAGTTTTATTATAATGAGTGGATTGATGATCTTTTTATTCCTGAAGATAAGATTTCCTTTTTTTCTTTCTACATTCTTTTTATTGATGTTATACAACTTAACGTTATTACTCATGTAAAGAAAAGAAAAATTATTCTTCGTTTTGGAATTTCGAACAAAATATAACTAGTAATGACACCTTAAATTTACTTAAAAAAATAAGGCTTAAGAAATCACGTGAATTACTTTATTAAATTAATTATCTTTAAAGTTAATACGTCATTTCTAGGCATGATAATTATATCGTGTTTTATCTTGATTCAATAATTTTCTTTTTATGAATAAAATCATTCAGATATGCTTGTAGTAAATCAATAATTTGATTATAGATATTGCTCATAAGAATTGTCTAGCAAAATGAGTTTTAGAATTCCATTCATATCATTGATAGAAGTTTCAATATTTGAATTATATTTATTGAAGTTCATTTGTATTTTTTTTGATTGAAATGGAAGTTTAATAAATAATTGAAAAAAGATAATGACATATTCATGTTTTTTACTTAATATTATTTCCTCAGTTTTAATGATATAACTTTGTTATATTCGTTGTTCAGTTCAATATCTTTTCTTCATATGTTTTTTTTTCTGTAATCGAATATATCATTTTGAAAACTATTTATATTAACAGCAATGAAGAAAATCTTAACAAACATATGTAGAATAGTTCATACATTCGAAATATTTCTATTTTGATAGTTTATTAAATATTATTTGTATTTACTTTTGTTCTTAAATGTACATGAAATTCCATCAACGACAAAATATTGTCTTTGTTCTAGTACAATCAAATTATAAGTCAATGAGTAAATACTTTGATATTAATTGTTCATAATATTCATTTACTTAATTCCATTCATTAAATGAGAAACTTAGATTATTCTTAATCTTAAGATGGAATAACGAGAATATGTTTTTAAAACATGTTAATAGTATGACTTGATTCTAGACAAACATTTGATCATATGAAACGAACATATAACACACATTGTGAGATTGTTTTATATTTTCATATTTTTGATATTAAAAAAAAAATCGTTTTGAATATATTATTTTTTATTAAGTTTGATTTAATCCTTGCGGCAGTATAATTTAGTTTAAAACAAATTATTCACATGAATGAGAAAATAGTCTCGACATCTTATATGTAACTATATTAGCATCGACTAAGAAAAAGAAACAGTATGAGTAGTAATTCTTTATATTAATAGTGATTCTCAAGAAGTTTAAATATAAAATTGTGAATCTGTACAATTGACTTTAAAAATGTCAATTTTCTTGGTTTAGATTTATTAAGTTATTATTAAAATTATTAAAGATCGAAGAAAATAAAATCGTTTGTGTACCTCATCATCAAATTTCTTTCTATGATCTATACTAGTGATCTTGATTTGGACGATCATTGTTTTTATTCATTTTTTGCATATATAGTTCCGCATAGAAAGATACTGCAGGTATCATCTATGAATAATACTGATAGCTTTGGTTATCGAAATGAAAATTGTCGAATTTCAGCAACATGCTTATAGATCGTTTAGGATTTATTTTCAGTGTGATCTATTTCCTAACAAAGAACATGTAACTTAAATAATGCTATTGCAATTTTATTATAATGATTTAGACGATTAACAAGTATCTTACATATGAGATGTTTTTCAGAAGCATTTCGAAATCATATTGATAGATTGATTCATGTTTGTTGTCAACAATAACATCTTAATTCGATTAAAGAGTTTTATAATTGACTTTTATTTCGATTTCTTAGATGAAAAATTTATATAAATGAAAAAAATGATATAAAGTGTTCATATGATAGAAATAAGTTAATCATCAACTCCAAAAGTATTGCCTCCGATAAGCGATTGGATAATATTAAAAAGTGAACTACCAACTATGCGTTCTAATTGACGTTGTAGATTCATGGCGTCCATATCAAGATTACGAGCACTTTTGAGACCGATGAAAAATGCAGTGCAGTTTGATGAGAGAAGATCTTCATTGTTTTCATTTTCGATGTAAGCTATAACTTGTTGTCGGTTTTGAAGAGCTTCAGTAAATGTCTCATTTGATCGAAAACTGTTGATCACTTGTCGAGTTTGAGTAAGATATTCTTGAGCCAATGTGTCATTGGCGCATAATATTGATGCCCAGTTTTGATCATAATTGTGATTACCATGTGGTCGATCCCAAAATTCTGGCTTGCCTTGTGGTCCATTATCAGGCCCATGGTTACCACCACGTTTATGAGATTCGCCAGGATGACATGAAGCAAGAACCACACATAGCTATACAGAGAAAATAAAGTAAAGACAACTGTCATATTTAATTAAAACAACAAGAACTTACAAGAACGACAAAGACGAGAAGTTTACTCATGTTTTTGTGTCTTTTACTTATATTTAACTACAAGACACTTTCTCTCTATATTTATATACGAATTGATTCTGTAGAACATTGGAGAAAACTCAAAAGAAAAAACAATAAAGAAAAAAAGTACATTTTTTTTCTCTAATTATAATAAAGATCGAAAGTGAAACCAACATGAATAATTTATTTTTCTCACTGGTCTTATTATTCATTTTCATGTTTATGCCACTTCATAGTTTAGTCTGTTGCAAAAAAAAAACATTGTGTTCGTAATTTATGTTATAGATTACGATTAGTCGGAAGTAAATAAATGTTTATTGCATAAGCAAAAATATAATGTAGAGGAATTATTCAAATTTTATGCAACGAAATAGCATCGGCATGATATAGTCTTTTATGAACTGGATAAAATATGTACTTTACTCTAATAAGAATAAATTTCAATTTATTCTTCCATGTGAAAATTTATAAAATCTTCCTAAAAATTTTTATTCATGCATATATTATGTTAATAGAAAAGTTGATGATATTCATCAACTGTTAATAATATTTTTTTGTAACTAGCGAGTTGGAAGAAAAATAAACCTTTCCTCGCTCAATGCAAATATTTTCTAGGAAATCATAGGAAAAAAAAGAAAAGAAAAGTGCTAAATCAGAAAAAAACAAACTACTGCATTCGAGGAAATAACAGCTTTAGATGACGACAGAAATGAAAAATACGGAAAACTTGTTAAATAATCCTTGTGCTTTAGAATAATAATTAAATGTTGGAATGACTTATAATCTAAGAATTAAAATAAAACAAATGAATTATATTTACAAAACTTTGATCATGACAACATGTCTAATACTGTAGAAATTCAAGTTTTTTTTTTTTTTATTCTTATAGTTATTATTATTTGTAAAAACAACGCAATAAGGAGTCTACCAAAATTGGATTTTCCCGCTTTATGTTTATACTTTTTTAAGCTACTCTAATATTCAGTACTTTTCATCCTTTAGTCTTTTTGAGTGTGGACTGAATGTGCCTGTCTCCTTCACCCACACCCACAACCGAAAGGATTAAAGGGATCAAAATACTTTTACAGCTTTAAAAAGTGCATAAGCATGAATGTAAAACGAGATAAATTTGATTGCTTGTAGACCTATGCAACAGTATACAGACGTGATCCATGCAATATAACACAAACTTGCAATTCACATCAATATTAAATAGAATATTGAATTGATTAACGTTTAAAGAATAAGCTTTCTAAAATCAGTGTATTCAATAGAAATCTAAATTACAATGGTTTCTTAAACTTTGTCTATATTGATCATGGGCATGTGTACACTTTCTTTACGTCAGAAAAATGTACAAAAACCAAATTTTTCACAAGTTAACAAGAAAAAAATATTATGTTGATATTGTTACTTTAACGGAAAAAATGCATTATTGTTCAAAATGTTTTAGACAGTCTTTTAAATTGAATTAATTTTTTCCAAGTTGTTCTAAAAAAACCGAGCTCATATAAATGTGAAGATAAAAGCACGGGCTACATTTTGCTAACTAAAACTTTTTAAAAGCTAATTGTTCATAATATAAAGAACCTATTTTACGAGAAACAATACACAATGTTCATTTTTTATTTTTTATCATTTTTCTAATATGACATTCGAAAGAATGTCAGACACTGCAAATCTTTCAAAAAGTGACTCCTCAAAAATCTAAAACATATTTTGTGAAACTTCAAAGTATATGACGCTTTAATGCAGTATTCAATACACGTTGAGATGTAATATTTTTAAAGAAAAATTACTCATATTAGAACAATGATAAAGAATTTACATGAACATTGGGTATTGCTTGTCATAGAATAGGCTCATTATATTATAGATAATTTGCTTTTAAAAAGTTTTAGTTAGCAAAATGTAGCCGATGTTTTTCTTATTCCATTTATATGAACTCGACTTTTCCTAGAACAACTTGGAAAAGATTTAAGTTAGATTAAAAGATCATCCAAATAAAAATTGACTAGCCCAAATTGTTGTATGTCCAATTGTACTATGGCTCAATGATTTTGAAGTCAAATTTTCTTTCAACATAGTATAGACATTGATTGTACTTTTGACGCCAAGGGGGAAACAGCGAACTTCAAGAGACTTCAACGGACTTCAGCCGCAGTGACTTCATATTTTCACAAGACTTCAAAAGACTTCATTGGACTTCAGAAGACTTCTGAAGACTTCATTGGATTTCAAAAGACTTCACAGACTTCACGGACTTCACGACTTCAAAAGACTTTGTTAGAATTCATAAAACTTCACAAAACTTCATCGGACTTCACAAGATTTCAAAAGACTTCAAGAGGCAGATTCCATGCGTATCAAAAAAAACTTATAGAAATTAAATGAAACCTTTATAACATGCAAAAAAGCTTATCATTTAATTTACGCGTAAATTAAATGATAAGTAAATATTATAAACTGACACTCTCATTCATAACGGAGTAACTAGCGTCTTCCGAGCACTAGGAACAGAATGATATTGAAAATTAATTGCTCCCAAAAGACTTTTTTTTATATGCAAATATTCTCGAAACTATGCTCATTCAACCGAAAAATGTTGAAGTTAGGGGTGTCAATTTATATTTACTTTTCATTTAATTTACACGTAAATTAAATGAAAAGTAAATATAAATTGACACCCCTATCATATAGAGATTACAAAAAGGTTTCTTGTTTCGGAGAATTGTTTCTCGCAACATATCTATATCTAGAATATTTTACGATGACACGAGTAATGTTGAATATATGATTGTACGTATCGCAGACATTTTAAGTGCTTGAGATTACACTCACACCCTATACACAAGCAAATGGCTTGTTGATTATTGACCGACAACGTTAGCCGTTTATCGGCTGATAGATTATCACGAGTGATAGAAACAAACAAAAAGAATTGAAAATCTTCATCAGATTGATTTGGATAGATGGAAAATTTCTTATAAAACTAAACCACTTCATTCAAAAAGCATTCACTTATTAATTATCATGTTTTCTAAGATCAAACAAGCTTGAATTTTTTCCAGTGCATTAAAAAAACAATAAAAAGTTCACCTTTCTATTAAAATAAGACCGTCGAAAACAAGACAATTTCATTGGTTTCTTGTGAATTTTCATGCACGAAATGTATTTCAAAGCTTCCAGAAGACTTCAAGAGACTATATGAGGATTCAGAAGATTTCGAAAGGCTTTCAAGACTTCAGTCGTGAAGTCTCCGCTGTTTCCCCCTTGTTTGACGCCAACCGCATTCATCAAAAGGCAGCTTTATACCATAATTATATTAAAAACAAACTCCTGCAGAATATTTTGTCTAGTATTGTATAAAGATCGCCAGAATTGCAGAGGAACGGAATCAATCAGAAGATTTTTGCTTAAGTTAAATGGCTTTAAGGAATGATTGCTCATGTTTTTACTAATTGGCAAGCAAATAAACAACATATATTTCAAAAGCTGCAGGTATTCTGTACATTTGATTTTTGCTTAGTTAGTACATTTGCTATTGGAAGCAACTTATTTTTTTCTTCAATAAATTTTCACTAGTGATACAAAGCGACATCATTTGACTTATTTCTTATTCGTTAAAGTATATTATACGTTATTTCATCGATTCACTCACTCTTATATTAGGCATGCCAGTTGTTATATTATTAGTTAATTTAATACTATAACTTATTTATTAAATTCTACTCTTTTTTTTCGTTTAAATGCTTAATAAGTCAATCAATTAGTATAAAATAAAATAGGTAATTAATGAAATAGATTTATTATTGATATGTTTAGATATATTGTTTCTATTTATTTTATTATTTTTCATTTGAAAATATTCATTTTATTTAGACATTCGATATAAACGAGATTGAATATAAATATTTAGTTTGTTCTCTGTTCTAATCACGATCATGTACGAAACCACTTGTACATAAACAAACTTTGTGGCGCACATGATCGTTCATCACGGAACTCGAGAATAACTTTTGGCCTTTTATTTTTCTCTTTTTATTTATTTGTTTATATTCCAGTTAAACCAAAAAAAAAAAAATAATGAGTAATAACAATGAACCTAATAAACAGGAATCATCGAATATTTCACCAATGTTTACTGTTCCACCGTCATCAATAACTTCTATACCACCACCATCACCAGTTGCTTTTGCTGCTTTCTACCAATCATATATTCAAGCTGCTGCTATGTATGCATCCCATCAACAACAGCATCAACAACAATTTTTTCAACATATGTTTTCTGTACCTCCCCCACCTCTACCTACTTCTAACGCTTCATCTGGAAATCGACCATCATTATCCACAGATAATTCACAAAGAAGATCAATAGGTGAATTATTTTGTTGATTTTTTTTTCTTTTCTAATTATAAATTCTTTTTTATTATTATTAAAGATGTAAGACAAATATCGACTTCAAAAAATGATTATCAAGATCGAAAACGAAAATTTTTTTCTCCATCATCATTACGTGATAATAATAATAAACAAATAGGCAATAAACGATTATATAATTTTGATCAATCATCTCGTAATGATGATCGAAAGATTCCACGTCGTGAACCACTTGCATCACCAGCACCAAAAAGACGTCGAATAAATAATGATATAATCGAAGATGAATATCATGAGTATGAAAATTAATCATTTTCATTTATTTAAATATGAAAATTTTTGTTTAGTTCAAGTTCTGATGAAGATATAAATGATGTATCTACAACGAAAATTAAACCACAATATGTACGTACATGTGCATCAGAACTTTATTATCGACGTGATGAACAAGTAAATATTTAGTTTTTTATGCGTTTATTATTCTATTGATATTTTAGAATTCTCGTTTAATTCATGCAACACAAAAATTAAAAGATCTTTGTGTAAAATTTCGTTCTGATGTTCTTGCACAACGTGAAATATTTCGTAAAGAAAATAAAATTTTTGATGAACCTGATCATTCAAATAT